TCCTAAACGTTTCGCCGGCATCGTCAGTGAGTATCGCCATTCGTAGCATCATACAACAACTCATCAAATGGACAAGTGAAGCTGATCCTTTGACCAAACATGTGCCAAACAATTGTGGCATCTACCCTTCTGTCCTGGGTTATTCGCGTTTCCGGTATTTAGACATAGTGTGGTGTGCTCCTCTGAGCGACATGAAACCTTCACACTCTAACTGTCGTTCTCACCCACCCCCTCCTTCATCCTTGTGCAGGGAATGCTGATCAGAAGTATGAAGACGAAGATGATGTGGCCCTTTGTGTGGTCGCAGTCTCCTTTCGTTGGATAGAGGTTGTTTGACCTTATTTTCGCAACATGTTCAAATTGGTAGGAAGACCTAGAGGAGCGCACCTAGTCCGGAATTCATTGTCTGCATGATCAATTCTAAAGTTGAACCGTGCATGTGGTACATTTCCAAATGTTGATCAGAGTCTGCTTTATTATTATGCAGTCATATCCCAGTCGAGGACTTCATCGCACATTCCAACAGTCTTCACTCGACGTCACTAGAACCCCATTTCATTTTTGTTAAGACTAATTTACCAATTCTTCAGATCCATGTTTACCTTCCAGCTGTAAATTGTAATTACAATAATTTTCCCCACAATCCTATCAGTAGGCATTAGGTTTCCATTGAATTTCACGAAATGGGGTAGATACAGCTCGTAAATGTGATCTACTGATCCTGTCTCACAACCAGCTAGGGGGCTTCTCATTGTATGAAAAATTAGCTATCATTCCTTTATTGAACGTATGAAAATAACGATAATGTGGCCTTTAGTATCGTCGAAGTGTCTTTTTGTTGCAAACAAATGGTTTGACATCCTTTCCGCAGAGTGGTCACATTGTCAGGGCGACCTTGAAAAACGTACCTTACCCGCGGTGCATAGTATGCATGACATTTTCAAGCGTCCGACCATTTCCCAGACATTTTGCCAGTATCGCAGTCGGAGTCGTGACTGAGATTTTTCCCATTTTTAGCCCAAAACTATAACTCGTCAAGGAGACAAATTTTTTCGATCCTTTGACCAACTTTCTGCCGACGGTTGTGCTATAATTCTACTACCGGTCCTTCATCATCTTACACGAAATAGGGTGAATACATCTCATTACACTGATTTACTGGTAGTCTCGAAACTTTACTTTAATACGAATATAATTTGTCTGTTCGGCATTTATTTGGTCAAGTAGTTGACCTACCTTGTTTCTTTGGCGATTTATTCTGTAGGGCCGAGAATGGCTAGACACGATATCGACGAAACGTCTGGGAATGTATAAGGTCTACGGACTAACGCTGATAATTATGACAACCACAATGGCAGAGGACTTCGAACGAGGTAGGTCCAACCAGGTTGCTATGGCAACACGACCAAGTTGCACAAACGGGGCCAGACAACTTGTATGCATCAAAAGGAGACTGCGACAACGATAGACGGCACAACATCTTGGTTTTCATATCTGCATTTTGACATTATTTCTTTATAAGAAGTACCGATTGCTTCAAAGGCGAATTACCTCGAAATAATGTCTTTTTATGCCCATTTTGTGCATCGTCAGTTCGCCGAATTGGCGCTGTCGCACGAGCTGATGCGGCAGACGTGCGAGGTGAACAGAAAAGTGCCAAAAAAGCCGACAGCAGTACCCGCTCTGCTGATCGCCGCCGAGGAGAACAGCTCGGCCGGACATACAGCGCGATCCGGCCTCGGTGGCGCCGCCAGTGGCAGCCTCAACCTGAAGCCGAGCGTTTTACTCGCACCAACAACTCGTCTCCGTGGCAACAGCGGAAGCAGCCAGAGCAACAGCAATTGCCAACCGGCCTCGGCCGTTGCATCCTCTTGTCCTCAAGACAGAGACGTCGGTCCGCCGAGCATCGACATGACGACCGTGCGTGCTTGTGGCCCCGTCTTCACGAGTCACCTCGCCGCCTACCATCTTCAGTTGGCCCGGCTCTGCTATGCTCGTAGTCAGCTCGCAGATGGTACCAGTCATTCCTTGTCGTCGTCGACGTCGTCGTCGGTGACGGTTTCGGCGGCTGCAGAAGCGATCGGTCGGGCAGAGGCCAGTCTCGGAGTGGCTCTTGTCGCCAGTCCGGGTTGCGTGGAGGCCTGGGCGTTGCTGGGACATCTGCAGGAGAGCCAACCGACGGCGGATCAGGTCGAGAGGAGAAGTAACGCCAGAGCCTGCTTCGAACGGTGCCTGGCGCTGGTGGAATGGCCCCCGAAAGAGGCTCACTTTTTGCTCATTCAACTTGGCCAGATTTACCTTGACGAAAAGAAGGTACATGAGCTGTACATGGTAGTCTTAAAAATCTAATTATATACAAAAAGTAGGTACATGAAAGGTACTGGGTAGTCTCGAAACTATATAATATACGAAAAGAAGGTACATGAGAGGTACCTGGTAATCTCTAAACTCTACTTATATAAGAAAAGAAGGTA